TGTAAACAGCTATTTTTGCCCGACTTCCAGGATCGCGAGCAACAGACTTGATTATAATAACGCCATCATAGATTTCTGGAACTTCTTGCTTAAATAGTTCTGCCATAAACTGAGGGTGTGAACGAGAAAGGAAAATTTGAGACCCTCGAGGTTCTTGGCGCACATCCATAATGTAGGTACGAACACGGTCTCCTGGACGGAAAGCCTCTCGTGGGATGATTTCATTTCGATGGAGCAACCCTTCGGCTCGTCCTAAGTCAATAATAACATTGCCGAATTCAACACGCTTTACAATGCCAGAGATAATCTCGCCAACGCGATCTTTGAACTCTTCATATTGATGATTCCGTTCAGCCTCACGAACGCCTTGGAAGATAACTTGGCGAGCTGTTTGTGCAGCAACGCGCCCAAAATCAATAGGAGTAAGCGCCTCTTCAATAAATTCCCCTACTTTTGCATCTGGTCGGATGGATTGCGCTTCTTCTAAAACAATTTGTGTGGCGCCATCTTCAAGGTCGTCTACAGACTCTACAATTTCTTGGCAGCGTTTCAAAGAAAACTCTCCAGTTACAGGGTCTAACGTAGCGCGAATGTCATATTCTTGGCCATAACGACCACGAGCTGCTTTTTGAATTGCTTGTTCTAAGGCCGTAAAAACTTCTTGTCGCTCAATGCCACGCTCTTTCGCAACGGTATCAATTGTTTGTAGAAGCTCGTGTCCTGTTTGCATAATCGTTTACCCTCTAATTGTTGCTCGAGTTAATGTTTGCTTGACGGATATTAGAAAAATCAACATGAAGTTCAGCGCTTTCTCCGTCTGAAAGGTCAACCTCTAAAATAACAGTTTCGTCCTTGACGCCTTGCAGCAGGCCAGAAAACCTTTTTCTCTCCTCAATAGGGGTGTGTGTTGTCAGCTTAACCCTATTTCCTGTGAAACGTTCAAAGTCTTTTAGCTTGACTAAAGGGCGATCTAAACCTGGCGAGGAGACCTCTAAGGTATAAGACCCTTTGATGGGATCTTCTACATCCATTAACGTAGAAATGGTTTTATAGGCTTGTTGACAGTCTCCAATATTCACAGGTGTATCGTCATGGCGTTCAATCATGATTTGCAATTTAACGCGCTCTTTCCCGCTGAGTTGAATGCGCACAAGGGAAAGCCCCATCTCGTGAAGAGAGGGAGAGATTAGTGAATCAATACGCTTAATAAGGTCCATCTTAGTCTCTTTACTTTCCATACAAAAAAGGCGGACCTTTACATAAAAGTCCACCGTACTGTCTTAACGATAATGTCAAAGATATCCGGATACAAGGTTAGATTAACGCTTTTTTAGGATTTTACAAGAAAATTCTGAGTTTAGAGTTTTTTCAGTTGCTTGTGGGAGAGCGAGTTATGAACTACTTTCAGAGGCATGTTTTAATCGGGTGTTTGATCTCTTTGTCCACATTCGCCTTTGGATCGTGGGGAGAAGAGGAGAAAATTAAAAGAAACAATAGGTTAGAAGACAGCTCTTTCTCGTCTGTTTCCCCTAATCGGATGATGCGTTTTCCTCAGGAAGATCATTCACAATATAAAGGCGCCTGGGATCAGAAGATAAAAATAGAAGAAGAGGGTTGTGTACATGCGCATTTTTCAAATGGTATGATAAAAATAATCATAGGAGAGCCTATAGAAAGAGAACGTCCTTGTCGTTTTCGGCTCGTTAATCCTCGGACTGGAGCTTTTATTACGCTTGATTGGAATGCCTATAGTTATAGAGTAGGAAGGAACTCCCAGAAGGTGCCGGACGCCCTCCAGAAGCATTTTTTTATCCGGGGCGTGCTTTAAGCGCTCTGCTTATAAAAGATCCTCGTTTGCGGATAGACAGTGTCGTGGAAGATGTACTGCTTAAAAAGAGAATTGAAGAAGCACGAGCATTTATTACCGATAAGATGGCGATTGAGGCTATGGTCAAAGCACTTGAATTGCAAAAAGAAAACATGGCACAGTTGATTAGGCTCGCCTGCAATTAAAGTTTATATAGATTAAAGCTTTCATTGACATGTTTTCTTTTGAGTTTTACACAGAAGTAAGGTTTTTAGGGTGGGAAATGCTGTATTGAAGTTCAAGGGGGCTAGGTGCAGGGTTTTCTTTGACTTCATTTTGAGATTAAACTGGGAAGGCATTTCATACTTATGGCAAAAACCCCGATCATTCACTTACATAAAGGAGACTTTCCCAGCAGTTTAGCTTTTACAGGTTCTGTTGCTATTGATACAGAGGCTACAGGACTTGAACATCGCCATAATCGCTTGTGCCTTGTGCAACTTTCTTCAGGAGACGGTGTTTGCCACCTAATTCAAATTCAAAAAGGTGTTGATTCTCCAAATCTTGTGCGCCTTTTAGAAGATCAGAACATCGAAAAAATTTTTCATTTTGCTCGCTTTGATGTTGCTATTTTGTACAAACACTTTGGAGTCCGTTGTACTCCTCTTTATTGTACCAAAATTGCTTCTAAGCTTTCCCGAACTTATACAGACAGGCATTCCTTGAAAGAGCTGTGCAAACACCTTTTAAAGGTGGAACTTTCCAAACAAGAACAAACTTCTGACTGGGGTGCTGAGACCTTAACAGACGCTCAGCAGCTTTATGCCGCAACAGATGTCTTGCAACTCCATGCTTTAAAAGAAAAATTAGAAGCCCTTGTAAGGCGCGAAGGCCGAACACATATTGCTAAAGCCGCTTTTGATTTCCTTCCGACCAAAGCAGAACTCGATCTCCTCGGTTTTGAAGACCCAGATCTATTCCGCCATTGACAAATCTTCAATGATTCTTAGATAACATAAGCAGGCCCTAGGAGATGCTTCTTACATGACACAAGCCATACAAAAAATAGATCGTTCTGCAAGCTCACCAGCATTGGTGGAAGCGCAACGCGTTTTAAAAGAGGAAGCAAATGCTCTTTTACTTCTTTCTGAACACTTAAGTGTTTCTTTTGACAATGCTGTTGAAACGATTTTAGAGGTAAAAGGCCGTCTTATTGTGTCTGGTGTTGGAAAAAGCGCCCACATTGCCAGAAAAATTGCAGCAACAATGGCCTCCACAGGAACGCCAGCTTTTTTTATCCACCCAACAGAGGCCAGCCATGGTGATCTTGGTATGTTGACACGTGAAGATGGTGTTTTGCTTCTTTCAAATTCAGGTGAAACAGCTGAATTATCAGACATGATTGCTCATACAAAGCGTTTTGGAATCCCGCTTTTATCAATCACAGGATCTGCGAAAAGTACGCTATCTAAAGAATCTGACGTTGCTTTAACAATCCCCCCTGTTTCTGAAGCTTGCCCGCTGGGCTTAGCGCCGACAACGTCCACAACTGCAATGCTCGGCTTTGGAGACGCT